CGCTGGAGGTGGTGTGCTTGAGCTAGAACTGCGGGCTATTGGAAGGTAGCACGGTTGCAGCTGATCCCCAACAATCTCATCAGATCATCCGCCCTCCGAAACGGCCACGGTTCGTTGGAAAATACGAACAGATACACAACAGCAAGCCAAAAGCAAACATCAGTTCGCGCCATCCAAGACATTATTCCCTCCCACGCCTCCCGATTTTCCCTCGGTGGCTTTTCCCCAAACGCCATTCAACGCCCGAGACCCTGAAAATTCCCAAGCCCTCTCATGGTCGGACGCCCGTTCCGAATTCGTATTAGTCGTCGCAACGCCTGCAAGCCCTTGACTCGCCGCATCCAATCCCAGCCAGTACCAACCCTCTTGGGTGTCAAGCATCGCCACGCGACGGAACATTTTCAGTCGACGTCCAACTCGGCTTCCTCTGCTGCCTCGTGGCGAGCTCAATGTCATGATCCTCGTCAACTCGCATGATCGCTTCCTCGCTGATGGTTTTGCTGATTCTCGTGGGAGCAGCCGCAGTGCCGTTTCCACGAATCGTAGTCTCGCCGTGGCCCCCAACATTCGTGCTCCAAAGCGACGCAGGGAGCATCGAATGGATGAATCGTTTTCGCTCTCTCCGTGTGCCCGGTTCGTTTTTCGGCGGTGGTGCCGCCGGGTGCTCCTCTGAACCGAACGACGCCCATGTTCCCATCTTGAACACGTGCGCAATGAACTGCCAGCAGAGGGGAATGTTGCCTACGTAGACGGCCGTCGCCATCTCGGCCACGTACCAGTACGTGTAAACCAGGTCGTTCGGGTTGGAAAAGTTGTAGTACCGGTTCAAAATCGCGATGAGGATCTGGAAGACTGTCAGCGCCGTCAGCAGCATCTGATTTGGCTGGACAACTCGCGTTGAAGCACCCGAGGCCCAGCACGCAGCAGAGGATGAGTTTCCTGTGCACCAACGTGTCAGTAGTCTCCTCGAAACCAAAGGGGGCAGACCTTACCTCTTCAACGGAATGCGAGACTGCACCACAATCGGAATGGGGATACAGAGTAGCATCAGATCTGAACTGATGTTGAAGGACGTGGCGGTTATCATGTGCTTGTAAAACGTCGCGCATTCCGCTGCATTGCTGTCAGCATCATCCCACCTCATCTCACAGCACCACCTACAGTTTTCCACTGGCAGAGCCCAATACCCCTGAATCGGAGTACACCAGTACCCCAACAACAAAATCACCACGATCGCATAGGCGAGAACGCAGTACACAAATATCAGCTTCACAAAGGAGTGCTGCAGGTGGTACGCAAGCCTAAATCCCGTCAGCGTTCGAATGACCCCCTCAGTACAGCACGGAAACTCACGTCAGGCGATGATAGAGGATCAGGAGGCAGATCTTGACCAGCCAAATCGTCGCCAGCGCACACATCTCCATCGCCAACGCCATCTTGCTTCCGTAGATAGCCATCGCCTTTTCCTCGGGCGTGAGACTGGCAGCAACCTCGTCCGAGATGAAGTTGCTGCCATTCTTGGCAACTTCGCCAAGGCAAACCATGACCGCCGTGAACGTTACCTATGATGCGTCAGTAAGGGACGAGGATAAAGCCATACAAACCACTTACGGCCACGACCATCATCAACCAATCTTCAATCTGGAGGTTGGCCCAGCTGCGGAACCTCATGCGACGTGATACCCTGGACCCAGACCAAACGTCAGCACCCCGCGCGAACTCCACCGAGCGAAGATCGAAGCCATGGCGAGTCCGGCACTTACATCCGACAGGCGATCAGGAGGGCGCCCAGCGTCCATAGCGTCCATGTTTCGACGGCTAATTTCTGGACAAAGTCGGACATTTTAGGTCAGCCGCCCGGATGCGATGACAGCAGCAGCAACAGCAACGACGACGACCGCACAGGGAGCATGGTAAGAATGAGCAGTGCGGGCCGAACCAGCTTGGCACATCGACAGTCGCTGCCCTCCTTTATCATGGATCTGGCTGCAAATGGGACATCTTGCCGACCGCGCGCGCGCCACGGTTCTTCCCAGACAGAGACCCAAGATGGCGGAAATTGTCCAGTCCGGTTGGGGAACTGACTCGCTTGCCCCCGTTGCTTGGAACGTCGGATGGGAGCCCATTGGACGAAGCTATTTTCCAGGTGCATATTTTAGGCCGGCCGTGTGCGGTAAAGTGTGGGTGGCCGAACGCTCCAGTGGCCCGAGTTGAGACAGGGGACCGCCGGAGCGGGGTTGCTGAACCAGGACAACAGGTGCTTGTGGGGTGTGGACCTTGTGCTACGCGATAGATAACAGGCGTGGTGTCTCACTGCGTTCCCTGCGACTCTGCAATGTCAATCGCCATTTTCCGCCATCTTTCCCGCCATGGATTGCGCGCAGCTGACCGCAGAGGACTTTGCCGACAAGCCATTCGACTTCCTTGTCATCGGCGGTGGCACGGCCGGGCTTGCGGTGGCAGCCCGGCTGTCCGAGCACTCGGGTCTGACCGTCGGCGTGCTGGAGGCGGGTGCGCCAGCCGTTGGCAACAGCGCTGTCGACTTCCCGGGGTTGGCCGGTCACGGGCTCGGTAGTGACCTGGACTGGAAATTTCGGACCGTCCCACAGCCGGGACTTGGCGGACGGGAGGCCCAGTGGGCACGCGGGAAGGTCGTCGGCGGCTCCAGCGCGCTGAATTACATGACCTGGAATCGCGCCAGCAAGCACGACTATGACGAGTGGGGTGAACTAGGGAACGAAGCATGGGGTTGGGATGATCTGCTGTCAGTTCTGTTGCTTTGTTGGTTATCGCCCGAGCGAAGGATCCCATCCGTTGCTTTTTCTGATGTACCCCCACGCCTGTGATGACTGTCAGTTGCTGCATGTTGGTTGGGTTGGGGAGCGCAACTGATCTGTTGAAATTTGCAGACCTTTCTTCAAGAAAAGCGAGACGTTCCACCCGGCTTCAGTGGGCGAGCAGAAAACATTTCCAGTCGGCTCACATGATGGCATTGTCGGCTCCAACGGCCCCGTTCAGGTCGCATATCCAAACGAGTTCAGCGCGTCCCACGAGTTCTGGCACGACACACTGAATTCCGTCGGCATTGACACCAATGACGCGCATCTGGCCGGAAGCAACGTCGGGGTCTGGACCAGTCTAGTGTCGGTTGACCCCCGGTCTGCCACTCGATCCTATGCCGCCACCGCATACCATCACCCCAACGCATCGCGGCCGAATCTTGTCGTCCTCTCCGGGGCGGAAGTCCGCGAGATCCTTCTTTTAAGGGGGGATGGCTCCGAGGAGTGGCAGGCAAAGGGTGTTCGCTTTTCGCATGGCGGATCCGAGTTTTCCGCGTTCGCTTCTCGAGAGATCATCGTGTCCGCCGGTACGGTTCAGTCGCCACAGATCCTCGAGCTGTCCGGCATCGGTGGCAGTGCAGCGCTCTCGGCCGCGGGCATCCCGGTGAAAGTTGACAATCCAAACGTCGGAGAGAACCTCCAAGACCATCTCAGTTTGTCTCCTCTCATTCCTCTGCTGCTCCGAAGTGGCTGACCACTTCCAGCAACAACGCTTGTCTTCGAAGTCGACCCATCCCTCCACACCCCAGATGATCTGAACGTCGAAGCGACCTTCGCGGCGGCATCAGATGAATACACCAAGTCCCGAACGGGGCCGCTGACAACCGTCCCCGTCTCCATGGCCTACGTCCCCGTAACCAAAGTGACACCCCCGGACATCCTCTCCTCCATTTTCTCCTCTCTGCCCTCTCCCAAAGGCCCCTCAGATGCCTCGCCCGCCGTCTCCCGAGACACTCTCTTCCGCCGCAAATACACCTCCCCTCTGTCCCACTCCATCGGCCACATCGAATACGTCTTCGACCTCGGCAACTGGGGCCCCGATTTCACACCCGACCCCTCCGGCACCAAAAAGTACGGCAGCATGCTTCAAATCCTGCAATACCCCTTCTCCCGAGGAAGCATCCACATCCGCCCCTCGCACGCATCGCAATCCCTCGTTGACGGTCTCGCCATCGATCCAGGGTACTTCTCCGGTCAGAACGGGCATCTCGACCTCGAAATCGCGCTTCACGGGTATCGCTTCGCCGAGAAGATCTGTTCATCCGAACCACTCAAGGGGATCATTCGCGGCATGGTATCCCCCACCCCGGAAGAGGCGAGTGACGAAGGGAAACTACGCAAGTGGTTGCGTCGCGTGATGGTGACGGACTGGCATCCCGTGGGGACCTGCGCGATGGGCGGAAAGGCGGGGGCACAAGGCGGGGTGGTGGACGAGAGATTGCGGGTGTATGGGGTGAAGGGACTACGTGTGGTTGATGCGAGTGTGATGCCGTTGCAGATCAGTGCGCATTTGCAGGCGACCGTGTACGCGATTGCGGAAAAGGCGGCGCATATGATTTTGGAAGATGCTGGGTTTTCGGGGGAGTGATGGAGGCAGGAGAACAGTTGGCAAAGGACCCGTCCAAAAGTCTGGCTGAGAAAAATGGCGATGTGGGGTCGTGTCAAAAGGGCAGGTTTTCCCAGAGTGAGGAAGGACCATCTTGGACATGACTTCCGATGACATCGATTCCGTGACTTCCCTGAATTGCCCGGCTCCCAGGCCACCTAACTTGAGAGATCAGAGACAAGCAATTTTTCTTCTTCCGCCCACCACTCACCATCAATATGGTAATTTCCGATTTCAGCTTGGGGCGCAGAGCCAATCCATCATGAAGAGTCAGATTGCAGCCGTGTTGGGGCATGGTTCTTGGATCTCTAGCAATGCTCACGGTCTCCCCTTTGAAGACCGTCAGCGCTGTTGCGCAGCCCCGTGCTAGACACGTGGCCAGTGATCTTCTCCGCTGTCCAATTTGTCGATCACTTCTATTTTTCCTCAGTGAAGAAAGGCCGTTGTTTGCCATCTTGTGTCAAAAGATGACCCCACTGAGTGCACAGTATCAGTGCTGTGCCATTCTCAAAGGGGGGGTATCACGGTGTCAACCACCAGCAAAAAAGGAGGATTGGGCGGGCCGGGACTCGAACCCGGATCTTTCGCTAAACGCTGAAGGTAAATCAAATCAACGCTGAATACGCTCAGGGAACGCTTTACCACTACGCTACCCATCCGATTATCTGCCTCTCTTCTTTTACTTTTAAACCTAGAGGCCCAACTGTCCACGCTGACGCATCACCGGACCTCGGTTGCACTGAGGGTGTTGCATTCGAACCTAATGAAAGCCACGATTGTGGACCCGCAGCCTGTTGCTTACCTCTCTTATCGGGGAACCGCCTTGCGTTTCAATGCTGGGCATGGCATTGTGTGTTGACGTTATAGCAAACTGTTGATCAGTTCTGTTGTGCCTGCTCCCTAGAAGCAGGATTCCAAGAAGCCTCACAATAGTAGTAAAACTTTCAAGCGATCACCAAATTCCGCCGCCATGGATACATACGCGGAGGCTGTGGATTTGTTGTATCACTTGTTTGGTTCGGACGAGGGAAAACGCGTGGTAGGGGCGGCTGAAAGCACATACCGCTGATGCGACAGTGTTGCATCTCTGTATGGTGGTGTATGTGCTACGGGACGGGAGAGCATTCCCACCAACCTTGTAGTCAAACTAGACGTCCATTTGTTCAATCTGGTTGGAATAGTTTTCTTGCCCCCTCCATCCATTCCCCTTCCGTTCAGGTGGGAGATGTCAGAAGAGCGTGTCTAATGGGTCCTCCGGCAAGTCCCAGTTTGGGTTTGGGCTGGGTTTAAGTTCAATTTTGTTCAAAAATAGAACAAAATAATCTTAGACTGCCTGATGAATGACGTACACTATTGTCTTCATCATGGTCGCTGGGAGCTTTCAACGGGACGAGGTTGAAATCTACCCCTGAATGGTGTAAGGGAAAGATGCTGATTGGCTGGGATGCGGTTTTATCCACAAATGGCTCGAGCTTGGCCCAGACCCCAGTGTGCACGGGCCACCACAAACAACCCCGCCTTGAGGATGCCAAGTTTGTTGACTTTGGACGCGATCATTCTCTCCGACTGTCAATCCCATGCGACGTGTTGCCCCCAACTATATCGCGAGAAAAATAAACACAAGAAACGATTCCGCTATCCGCCGCGATTTCGCAAACCTATCCCGCGCCTCACCCGCCCCGGAGCAAACCCGAAACCGACCTGAGCGCGCCCAAAATGACCGCAACATCCTCCACCTACAGCGAATGCGTCGCCTCCCTCCGCACCTCCCTCTCCTTCCTCGAGTCCTCCGTCTCCACCCTCGGCACCGGCGTCGAAGACTTCCCCCGCCTCAGCTCCGTCCTCAAGACCGTCCGCGTACGTTTTCCCTCCCTTCCCCACCACCACCAACACCCCCCGCTAACAACCTTTCCCTCCCCAGCACTACGAACTAATCCCCCAACCCACACTCGCCGCCGCCGAAGCCTCCCTCCGCGATGAAATCGGCCCCTTCGTCGCCCTCCTCCTCGACCGCGCAGACAAGCATCTCGAGCGCCAAGCGCGCCGAATCGAGACCCTCAAAGCCAAAGCCGAGCTCAACGCCGGTCGACTCTCCCACTTCCCTGCGGACGACAACAACAACAACAACGGTGGATCGCGCGCAAAGGATAGGGGAGCGGCAAAGACAAAAGCGAAAGGGAAAGGGAGGGCGCTCGACGGGGAGGCGGCGTTGAGGGCGAAGGTTGTTCGGCAAAGGAAGGAGGCGCTGAGGTATGGAGTGGAGAGGTTGGAGTTGGAGGTGTTGCAGAAGGAGAGGGAGTTGAGGGTTAGGTTGGAGAAGGCTTGAAAAGAGAAGGGGAATGATATTGGTGATATCTACAAGGGGGATGCACGCTGAGCTGGGGCTGCCTCTGCGAGAATGGTCAAACTGAAGCCGTTCAGTCTGGAATCGGCAAACCAGACAGACGACAATCCGGATGCCACGATGCGATGCTCGGCCCAGCAGAGGGCGAGAATCTGGCAGTTCCCGACGCGCTGCTCGGGCCGATGCAAGCCCCCCGCGTGGCGCATCCAGGAACCGACAGCCCGGTCGCGTGGCCCGATCTGAGCACTTCGTGCCCACGGAGGCTTGGACGCTGCCGTTGGACCACAACATGATGCCTGATTTAAATCAGGATCGTGTCAGCCGAGAAAACCCCCGGGGCGCGGATCCGGACGGGTGGTAGCGGAGCGGGGAAGGACAAGGGAAACGTCAAGCCCGAGGCAGAACCAACAGTCTGGTTTGACACCCGACGGGAGGGTGTGCTCTTGAGCGACAGGCGTGTCGATGTGCCACGAGAAACATCCAACTTCGTGCTTCGTGCTTCACAAGCGACCAGTCGGACCGTCCCGTAGAAAGTACGGCGCTGTAGTTATAGAGGAAACATTCCATCTGCACACGCACATACACACACAACACCGCTGTCCCACATTGTGATGAGAACGCCATGATCCTGTCAGCTTGGAACCACGGACACCACCGTGCGCTCAATTTTCAGAACCACTGAAGCCCCCCTGCTCCCAATGCGACTCTCCTCAGACTCGCCCACATTTTCCAGGCTGCCAAATAACAGGGACTTCAGGGAAGATGATGACCTGGCATGAATGATCTCACGTCACCAAATCCACAATTCTCACAGCTCACAGCTCAATCCCCGCAGTTCATTTTCGATGCTTGATTCAATTCGACATCTCGACAGCGGGCCATCAATACGATCCCTAGCATGTATTTCCATGCCAACCCTGTGTGCTGCCATTGCCGTGATTCATGATCTCTCTGTCTCTGTCACCCCCTCTGTACCAACACCACACATGACAAAATAAGAACAAAAAGTCGAGTAGCCTAACACAAGAAAAAAAACAAGAGTACAGTCGGCTGGTAGAGGAAGGGTAATAACGGGTGGTTTGGTAAAGTGTCTCTCACATACACAAAGTAGTACAAGAATAAAGCGAAGAGTAAAAACGCAGAACACACACACGCCCCCAAAGCCAACCAGATCCTCCCAAAACAACCACGATGTTTTTGCTCCCATCCAACGCATCCAAAGCCAATTCGGCTATAATGCCTGCTGTTCCCCAAGCAGGTCGAAAACGAAGAACAAAGACACACTGGCTCGACCGTCGCGTCTATTGCGACGTCTCCCAGTTCGTGCAGCGCCGGCATGGGTTCGCTGCTGGGTGTCGAGTGTGCGCCGATGGGAATCGGTCCGGGATAGGGTATATAGAACGTCATCCAGTGAAATCATCCACATAGTATCATGCGCCGGTTTTCATTGCTCGAAATCGTGCCGAGTATCCGCTGGGCAAGTGTCCAACGGTCTCGTGCTGATGTTGTGAGGCTTCTATAATAGGATGAGGTAGTTGCTCGGGGCGATGCCTGTCTGGCCGTTCTCCTTTCGTGCTTGCCACCACCTTCCGCTGACGTCGCTGACCTCGAGGATCTCGTGCTTGGAGAACGAGATCTCGTTGGCATCATCGGGGTTGGCCTCGTAGCTGTAGATGGCCTTCGCCCGATATGGGTACTCTGTAGGAGGCACAATCTCGTCGCCTGTTCCTGGTGCGGCAGGCCCGGCCTTCGCGGCGGGTGCTGCCGGAGGGAACGCTGGCGCAATTGTCGAGTTTCGCATGGTCGAAGTCATGCCTCCGACAGGTGACGGGTTCTCAAGCCCGTTAAGTTGAGCCGTGTACATCTGAGGGGGCTGAACGGAGGTAGAGGTCTCGGGGCGGCCGATTCCGTAGCTCGCGTTCATGGTCTGGCGATTTGCCGATCCCTCCTTGGCCAGAGCGAAGGAGTCAATGTAGGCACGAGGGACAGCTGATGGGGCGGAGCCGAAGTAGAAAATCCAGACAATCTGAACTCAGAGTCAGTTTGGTCGCCAAGCGAAAGCCTCAAAGGAGCGGGACGTACCGTTACCATGGACAAGAGGATAAAGCCAGCGGCAGCAGCCTCCCGAGCGCCATTGTTGGAATAGATCAAGCCATTGACAGACGATGTCGCCAGGATAAGGCCGCAACCCAGATACCCGACAATCGCGACATGGTAAGTCTGACTGCTGTCTGAGGCGACAACGACGAAGATGCCGATGATGGCGAAGAAGTAAAAGACTACTGTCCACCACGTAAACAGCGGAAAGTTATTCCGTGTTTGGATGTGGGCGAAGACAGAGCCGAAGAAGGAGATGATCCACGCCAACTGACAATCGCAGTGGTTAGCATCGCACCCAAAATGCGGGGAGCCGGTGAGCGGGAGCTTACTGCAGAGATGGAGATGGTCGCAAGCGCAAACGGATCGCCGATAACGTTTCCGAAGCTCATTCCTCTGCGACCACCGCCGTATCTAGAGTTTTCCATTTTCCTGAGCGAGGGGGAGTGTAGTGAGCCGTAGGATGGCATAAGGACGAATGTGCAGACTGTCTGTAATTAATGGCGACCGGGCGAGTTGAAGCGTGGCGATTCAATTGACGCAAGTCCGAAGCCAGAACATGGGAGAGTTGGACGGATTGCACTGTGTGGCTGAGCCTAGGGAGCGAAGGTTCCTGCACGGTGGTTGGTGGGCGCCGAACGACTGCAAAAGGAGCGACTGGGGCGGGCTGAGATGCAGCGGGAACTGGCTGGTGCCGCAGGAATAAAAAAGTCAAACGGTGACGAGGCCTGTGAACCGGCGTGGCGAGTCGTCACGGTGAAATAAACTGAAGAGAACAGTGTCCAGCAACAGAATATACCCTCTCTCAGAGCTAGAGAGAGTCGAATGAATGACGGGTCGGGGCCCCAAAAGTCAATGGATTGCGGGTGCAGATGACGACGAAATCGGTCGGATTGAAGGACGGCGGTGTGGACCAGGCTGTCGCGACAAAAATCCGAAGACGAAGAAACGACCAAAATGCGAAAGGGACGCGCAGAAACCGGTCGCAGGTGGAAGGTGACGGGATTCGCTGTGTCGACCCGATCGTCCAGATGCCCGATGGCTTGCTCCGCAGCTCTTTCCCCTATTTACGCAATTCCTGTCTCTTTTCTCGCAATCGCAGAACCTGTCAGCGTTCCAGTCGTGAAACCGTAGGTGTCGAGAAGGGAAAATGGGGGGAGGGCGGCGAGGACGACGAAATTCGAATGCCGGCGATGGTGAGGAGAGGCCGTCGAAGGA